GACACACACACACACACACACAAACACATAGACACATATAGACACACACACACACACACACAAACACAAACACATATAGACACACACACACACAGGTTTGTAATTATATCTTTGAGGAGACTCTTCATTCATTTCTATGGGGAAAACTCTAATCCCAATTACCTTAACCCCTACCCAGCCCTAACCTTAACCATAAGTAACCAAACTAATATGAGACATTGGCATTTTTAGTGTTTTGATTTCATCCACACCTGAAAAATGGTCCCCAGATCATCAAAATAGCAGGTTTTTATTACATTGTGAGGGACATTTGGCTCCCCACAATGTAATATAAATATAATCCACACACACACACACACACACACACACAGTTCCATCCCCACCAAGTCCTCACGGTTTGCATTTCTTCCCCAGCACCTCCTTTGGCAGCATCCTGACGGCATGTGGGAGTGTAATTTGTGTGTCCACAGCAGCCGCACACTGCCCCCCCCGCCCCCCCCCAGCCATGCTGCCATATCGACCTTCAGTCTACTCACTTAGCATGTCTGACTTCGACAGGTTGTCCTTTTCACCGCGCGAGACCCAATGTGTATGCGTGTGCGTGCGGGTCACACTCACCCAGTGAGCACCACCACAAAGTCCATGACGTTCCAGCCGTTGCGCAGGTACGAGCCCTTGTGGAAGGCGAAGCCCAGGGCCAGGATCTTGATGCCCGACTCGAAGCAGAAGATGCCGATGAAATAGGGCTCCGTGTCGTCCTGGGGAAGGCAGGGGCCGTTGGAGGGGGGCGTGTGGGGACATCCATGTACACACAACCCCCCCGTGCACGCACGCACACCAGTCATAGCCACGCTGAGGTTTGTTTTTGTTGTATTTGTGTGTGTGTGTGTGTGTGTGTGTGTGGTGTGTGCACACGCGCGTGCAGGCGGCTCACCAGGCGTGCAGACATGGGCGTCTTGTCGTCCTCGGGCAGGTGCTGCTCCAGAGCCAGGACGATGCAGTTGGCGATGATGGTGGTGAGGATCATCCACTCAAAAGGAGTGAGGATGTGGGGTCAAGGAGCTCCACAGACGTATAAGGCAGACAAACACCACCCAGAGCAGCCTACGCCCAATCAGGTACTCACTGACAGCCAATCACAAATAAAAGACAGGGTACCCCCCCAATCAGGTACTCACTAACAGCCAATCACAAATAAAAGACAGGGTACCCCCCCAGTCAGGAACTCCCTAACAGCCAATCATAAATAAAAGACAGGGTACCCCCCCAGTCAGGAACTCCCTAACAGCCAATCATAAATAAAAGACAGGGTACCCCCACAATCAGGTACTCACTGACAGCCAATCACAAATAAAAGACAGGGTACCCCCCCAATCAGGTACTAAGAAACATCCTTCCATCCGTCCATCCATCAATCCATTTTCTATACCCGCTTATGCTATGCAGGGTTGTGGTAATCAGGTACTCATTAACAACCAATCGTTAAAAAGAAAGGGTTCCCACCAATCAGGAATTCCCTAACATCCCATCATTAATAAGGAAAAAGTCACTCACCAATCTGATGCTCATTAACAACTAATGTGACCTTTCGGATGATCGGTTATTATAATACTTAAATAAATTAATGAACACAATGCCAGGAAAGCCCAAGTCAAGCTAACGGTGTAATTCCACTATAATGACTATTGTCCAGGGCAATGATTAGTGTCACAGGGCAGAGACAAACAGAGCGGAGCAGGAAATCATCGTCTGTCAAGCCATTGGCCTGCCCAGACAGCGCCATCCACGGCACGGCTCTCACTGCCGCCACCCGCAGGTCAAATGATGTAAACACAACCTGCTGCCCCTCTTCCTACCTCTGTGGAGGACAGATGCCCTCTCTACTTTGGACCAGAGGTGGAGGACTGGCCAGGGAGGGGAGTGGCGGTGAGGAAAAGGAGGAATGGGGAAGGTTGATGGAGCACAAGAACATGAGGCAGCCAAATGGCATCCCGGGTCACATAAGATTGCTCCTGCTTCTGCCGACCAATCAAATCACACGTCTTACTAAATCACAGCCTCAAATAGCTGAAGACAGAAACTGTTTGAAGATCAGTTCAGCTCAGAAAAAGGGCAGTGGGAGGCAAACTTCAAAGTGGAACATGTTTGGTTTGAGTAGATTATGCCTCTACTGTAATATGCTGTAATATTTACTCAGTTCTACTGTTTGGAAAGGCTTTGCACAGATCCCAGGAGGAACCCAAGTGACAGAACGCGCCAAACCCGTCTCACTCTATTAATGGTGTCACAAAAAGGACCTGCCAAGTACGAGGCAGGGGGATGGAGATCGACGCACATCCCTCAGGAACAAACGGGTCTGACCCCTATGAGTAATAGCTGGAATATAGCACATGCTGCAGGCTCGACAGATCCCACACGGGTTGAACAGGCTGGGCGTTAGGGATTCAGGTCCCGTTATCCAGGCAGAGTGTGACGACTGCTGGAAACAACCGTAAACACCAACCCAGTGACTCACGGGCGATTAATGAGGCCGGGGATTTAACCCGGCGACCAAAGAGGGGTCCGGTTTCAGAATAACATGGCGACAGAAACATGCGGTGAAACTTGAACCACGGGGAGTCCATCAAATAAGGGCACGACCGTGCCTCTTAAACCGAACCAACTGCCTGACCAAATCGCGGTTTCCCAAACACATCTACCCATAATCCCTGAAATCAAATCACATTCATCCCCAGCAGAATGGCCCCACCCGGCCCCTCCCTTGGGATTGTGCCTGTGTCTGTCCCTGCCGGGGCCCCCCGCAGCACACGACGCCGGTAAAGGCGCAAGCTCTCAGTCCTCGGATAATCTTTTCGGTTATATAACACATGATGGTACATTACCGGAAAATGATATTCAATCACGGTGCTAAAGCTGTCTGCTGCCCCTAATGGACCGTTAATAATTCACAGTTCAATTTGGAGAATGAGGCGGTGGCTGCGAGAGGAAGAGGAGGATGAAGGGAGGAGGCAGAGCTCTAGAGAGACTGACGTGGAGCTCTGCGATGGTGATGTCAACGTCTTGGCAACCGCAATGAGTAAAAACGCTAATGCGGGACTGAGTGGGGGGGGTAGGGGCGTGGGGGCGTGTGCAGTGAGGTGGGCATTGGACGCCCCAAGGAGACAAATCTCTGCATCAGCAGAACAAAATGTGTATTAGGATAATAAAAGGCAATAGTGATGCCAGAGCTGCCCCCCAGCAACAAGTGCTTCCTCTCTGCTTAATTAAAATGGCTCTGAGATGGGGGGGGTCATGGAGGAATGTGCCAGCACAAGTCATCCGCTTCACACAGACTTCCTGGCCGAGCAAAAGGGGTGACGTCTGGAAGATGGTCTGGACGGCTCGGAAGCGAAAGAGCATTCTCTGTTACTCACAAGCGCACACAGAAGTTTGATGGGGCTGTATCCCTTCTTTTCACTTAGCATATGCTTTTATCCAAAGCGATATACAATCGAGAAAGTAGGATCAGGCCGGGCCTGCGGCAATTGGGACTTTTTTTTCCAGTTTTTTTCTAGATGACTCGAGGATTTGAACCTGAAACCTTCAGATCATTGGCACAGTGTTCAAACCCACTCGAACCACACACCACCCGCATGGGTCTGTAAAAACGCTCCAATTTTAATGATCGAAAACAAAGCTACAAAAACAATTAAAAATAGACAACAGCAACGTATTTCCAGACCGAAACACAGAGCTCAAGAAACTGGAATCCTGGCTGAATCTGAACCTGGACTGTGTCACTTAAAGGCCATATTGGTGATAGCGGGCTCACCTGGGCGAAGAAAGCAGGGGTGACAGCCGCAGAGGCGCAGCGAGCACCATCACCGGCCGCCTCGCAGATGGAGCAGCAAAAGGAGCTGTCCCTCCAGTGGCATTACTCACGCACGGCTGGGATAATCCCTGACAGGCTCCACGCGCGAGGTGGGGCCGGCTGGCACTGAGCTGGGACCGGCTGGTGCAGGGGCTGACCTCCCCCCCACACACACACCCACGAGCCCAACAAGGCTGGCTAAGGAGGCCGGGAGCTGTATGACTTAGGAGAGGATGAAGCCACACCCCACCAAGGCTGTATGCAAAGGTCAGCAGAAAGACAGAAAATGTTTTTGCTATTGCTCCATAGTCATGCAGTATTACCACTGTGGACTCATGCTGTACTATTACTGCAGGGTCACACAGTACTACCATTACAGAACAGAGTCATGCGGTACTATTACTGGAGAGTCATGCGTTAGTATCGCTACAGAACTGAGTCATGCGGTGCTATTAGTACTATCACTACAGAGTCACAGGGTACTATTGCTGCAGAGTCACGTAGTACTATCATTACAGAATAGAGTCATGTGGTACTATTACTGCAAGTGATGCGTTACTATCACTAAAGAGCAGAGTCACACAGTACTATCAAGTCAAGTGGTACTATTATTACAGAATAAACTAATGTTGTACTATCACTGCAGAGTCACCCAGTACTATTACTACAGAGCTACGCATTACTTTCACTGCAGTGTCATGTGGTACTATCACTGCAGAACAGAGTCATGCGGTACTGAAGAGTCACCCAGGACATTTGCTGCAGAGTCATGTGACAGTGTTACTTGGCACTAGTAATGTACCGCTCTCAGGCCCCGCAGCTCTCAGGCCCCGCCGCTCTCAGGCCCCGCAGCTCTCAGGGCCCGCCGCCTCTCTCAGGCCCCGCAGCTCTCAGGGCCCGCCGCCCCTCTCAGGGCCCGCAGCTCTCAGGGCCCGCCGCCTCTCTCAGGTCCTGCCCCTCTCAGGCCCCGCAGCTCTCAGGCCATGCCACCTCTCTCAGGCCCCACAATAAATAATAAATAGTCTTTTTATTATTTATTATTATTATTGCTGCTACTCTTATGACCCCGCGTGTGTAAAACAGAATGAAATTAAAGAATAAAATGATCACAATGTAACAACATTGCTTCAGTATTTATTTAATCTTGATCTAAATGTATTTCATGTATCCAACATGAATAATGCAACAGATAATGCGGTAGATGTTTCCAAACCCTCATAATATTGAGAATGTTACAAGTAATATAAAGAATGCTTGATTTTAAATGATCAATAAGTATCTAGGCACGACTTTGACAAGTTATTGCAGACAACTGCTGACATCAATATAAATGCTATTTGCATTTTTGTTGTGTGAATTCTATGCATAAACAGTAAAACCTTGAACAGGAAAAAAATAAATGTTTAGATTTATAATACACTGACAATCATGAAACACAGATCATGCACAACTATATACGCAGCACATTTGTTTCCAAACACGTTAGATAGATAAACTTCACTTCGAAACTCGTGAAACGGATAAAGAACTTGTTTCTTTGTTGTCTGCGTATGCATCAACCCAACCAGAAGGGTTCTGAGAGCGGCCTGCCTGAGAAGGGTGGCTGCAGCTGAATGTTATTGGACAGGGCGGAGTCACGTAACAACACACGCGGCATTGTGTTTTTAAGGGGACAGTACATGAACACATGTACATGAAAAAGCATTAATAGAATTTAAAAATCCAAAGTAACCAAAGTGACATGGGAAAGATTAAGTTGATTAGAGGTTCTCTTATCTGTCTGGATTCATTTTCGATTAGCTGCCCAGTTCCACTGTTACTGCTGTCACACATTACTGTCTCTACAGAACAAAATCATGTGGTACTGTATTGCAGAGTCACAAGTTACTATCACTGCAGAGTCAAGTGATAGTTTTGCAACAAAACAGAGTCACATGGTACTCTTATTGCAGATTTACGTTATTATAACTGCAGTCACAAGCTATTGTCACTGCAAAGTCACATGTCACTATCACTGCAGAACAGAGATACATGTTACTATAACTAGTCACATATCATAATTACTTCAGAAGTCACATCACTACAGAAGAGAGTCACATGTTACTATTGCTACAGAAGAGTCACATTCAAGACACATTCAAGACATACAGAAGAGTGCACACTCAAACTATGCAACTTAGACTATTTATTATTATTATTGCTGCTACACCACTTTGTCTTTGTCTTCTATGTCTTGTGTGTATCTTGTCTTATGTTCTGTCTGTGGGGGGGGGGGTTTCAAGTAAGAATTTCATTGTGCTCTGTACGCTGTACTTGGTACACATGACAATAAACTTCAACTTCAACTTCAACATGTTACTATTGCTACAGAAG